AAGACTTAATGTTGGTAGAATTTTTATCCATGGTTTAGGATATTGCATTTAAATAGCTAGTTTCTGTGTCTGCTTCGGCAGCACATACACTAAACAGCTTAGTTTATTTCCTAATTCTTTTGGGTGCTTGGAAATGTGTTGTTTAATGTGTCTTAACAGTCGGGGCGCCTGGGTGGCGCAGTCGGTTAACCGGCCGACTTCAGCCAGGTCACGATCTCGCGGTCCGTGAGTTCGAGCCCCGCGTCGGGCTCTGGGCTGATGGCTCGGAGCCTGGAGCCTGTTTCCGATTCTGTGTCTCCCTCTCTCTCTGCCCCTCCCCCGTTCATGCTCTGTCTCTCTCTGTCCCAAAAATAAATAAAAAACGTTGAAAAAAAAAAATTTAAAAAAAACAGTGTTCTGTTATTGTTGATTACCTTAAAAGAAAATAGTCAGAGGGGCACCTGGGTGGCTCAGTCAGTTGGGCATCCAACTCTTGATTTCAGCTCAGGTCATGATCCCAAGGTCATGGGACCTAGCCCTGTGTCAGGCTTCATGCTGAGTGTGGAGCCTGCTTAAGATTCTCTCTCTCTCTCTCCCTCTGCCCCTCCCCCACATACTCTCTCTCAAATAAAAATAATAATAATAATAATAAATAAAATAATTGGAGTATACATACATACCTTGATGAATTGAAAACTCTCATAGACCTCCTTTCTTCCTATGCCTCTCACTTCTTTTGTTCCAATTGGCATAAGAACTCTTTCCTGCCAGATCGGTCATGAGTCAGTAGAGATGGGATTAGTCTATTTGAGCAGAAATTAAAGAACAGCTTTGAATTAAGTGTGCTGGTTTGTTCTACTGGAACATAGTATCACTTTCAAAGCATCCCTCGTAGTTCCTCTGATGCCACTACTTCCTTGGCAATACTCTAAAATGGGTTCTTCACATCAGCATTTCTCGTAGTGTGGTCCCCAGGGCAGTGGCATCAACATCCTCTGGAAACAAGTAGAAATGCAAATTGAACGGCCCGGCCTGGACCTACTGTATCAAAAATGAGAAGGGTGGAGTGTGCCCAGCAATCTATGTTCAAGCAAGCCCTTCAGGTAATTTTGATGCACATTAATGTCTGAAAACCAGCGCTCTCAGCAGTAAAACCCAAAGGTAGGCTCTTATGTGAGAAGGTGACATGATAAGAGGGTGGTTAAAACACCTGCCTCATACAATTATTTCACAAAGTTAAATAGTTTAAAAAGTCACTTTGGGGGGGGCAATTTTAGCTATTTCACATTGAAATGGTCTTTCCAGTGGAAACCATCACAAATTTTAGTGAAGCAGAATATATTTTACATTACTAAGGGCACAAAATGATTTACTCCTTGTAAATGTGGGAAGATTTTTTCCATGAAAATGGAATCAAAGAAGAAGAATTTACTAGATAACTTGAGCTGCCTTCATTCTCTGCTGGATTAAATTAGTATACTTTTTAATTGAATCTCAAATCCTTGGAAATTACCCATTAGGATGAAATAGATTTTGAATATTTAAAAACCAAAAATAAAATTTCTTAGAATAATCCTTTTTGTGGGATGAAAGAAATAGTATCAAAAGGAAGGTTGGCACGTTCTAGACATTAACAAGAAGGGCTTACCATGAGTTGCTAGGTAGCAAAGTGTGTGAAGCCTGGGGGAGTGGAAGGCAGAGAAGAAGGTCACGGCAATACATTTTACCTGCTTGATATCACCTACAGCTGGCCCAGGAAGGAGTCCCTTGGGGCAGGTTATCTGATATCTATGTATTTTTTTGTAAGTGTACCTCACCAATTTTGACATCTAGAGCCCTATATCATGTGAATCTTATGAAATTCAATTATTCATTATTTTTCAGTTTTCCAGTTCCATATTTCTTTAATGTCCATTGTGATGATTGTACCCTTTCTCTGTTTTTTTTTTTTCTAGGTTTTATCTGCTTACATTAGAGCACACAGATATTTCGGTGAAAATGCAATGGTTCTTTGGGTCCTCTGTAATACTCCATGGGTTATAGGTGATTTTTCATGTGTCATCCATTTCGAGGACACGTGATGTCAGGGTTATTTTTTTTACATGATTTTTTTTTCAGATATCAAACTATGGGTGTGAATATCAAGGGTCAATGCAACCTTAAGCAACACTAAAATTGGTTAATGATGTTTATTTCAATATTTTACAAGAAGTGTTATTTCTTGGCATGTTGGCAATGATTCTTTGGTTGCTATCTTCAGACTGTGTAATTGATAGACAGGAAGGAATTTAGAGGAATGTTTTACATTCCACTTTTATAACAAAAGTATTTTACCTCTGCTCAACAGATGCCACTGACATACGATTACTTCCAAATGTAAAAGCTGAACATCAAAAGGGTCTTGGCCAAAGAAAAGATTTCTGTTCACGCATTATCTGTATGCATGAGTCATTCTGTTGGGTCCAACTTTCATTTATACTCTTACATGAGATCAGGCCCCTTTGATCCCCCTTGTAATCCCATTGGTGTGTGAAATGTGGTGGCAATGTGAGTGATGTATTTTAATGCAAAATATTGAGACTTTACTTTGATTGTACACAAGAATTTTAAGATTTATGGAATGTGTGTATATATATATATATATACACTTTTTATTGCAGATAATTAATGGGGCAATGATCTTTCTTCATTGCTTCAGCTATGTAATTTATCTTGTTTTTCTTTTCTGGAGGATATGAATGTGAAATCCATATACATATTAGTTTTATGGGTCAATAATCCAAGTAAAAAATTGAATTAGATTATTCTGGTCAAAAATATCTAGACACTTGAATATAAATATGGTCCATTTGGTTACTACATTTCAAGCTATCATGCTTAAATTAAATTTAACCCATTTGGAATCTGAATTTTTTGTTTTGTTTTTTGGCATCAGCAAAGCAATTCTCTGCAAAGTACCTGCCACAGAAAAGATCTTTCTATTATATAGACAATTCCAGCTCAGTACCAATAAACACTCAGTATTTCAAATGGTGGCATTATGATGGATGATGGCACATTCTTAAACATATCAATCATTTCTCAACTGCAGCTGCACCATTATGCCTCTCAAAATCATTAATTCAACAGCACTGCCTTTCAAGCACGATTCACAATTAAATTCAAACTCACAAAGATGTATCTGCCAGCAGTTCTTAAACTTTTTATTATCATGACATTATTCTTTTTATAATTCCTCAATTCTTGTGGTGCATATTCGTCATGGGATATATTTATTTCATTCCTATAAGTTAACCAATGCTTATTTATTGATTGCTTGCTATAAACCAAGAATGTGGTGCTTGGAATTGGGGATATTTTATAGGTCATACCAAGTTCTTTGCTGCCTGGAACTTATGAACTAACCTTATTTTTTATAAAGTGCATCTGATGCACTTAAATGGGGATCAAGGGCTGTGGAACTTTGCAGTAGCCTTTGAGATACACAAGTTATAAAGCAAGGTTTGGGATTGTTGCCTGATAGTCAGATTTTCAACTGTAGAATACCCAAGAATGAAAGTGGCTATATATGTTTGTTTTGCTTAACAAAACAATATCTGAAGTCCTGCAGAAGTAAATAATGGCTATCTGCAATTATCATATGCTGAATGTGACTGTGAATACAATGTGTTTTGAGAGTCAGTCTAGGTGTGCATTAAAAGCTTCATAACACGGGGGCGCCTGGGTGGCGCAGTCGGTTAAGCGTCCGACT